GAATTCATCAATCACATTTTGAATTAACACAATAGCATTCTTTTGAAATATACGAGGCATGTTCGTATACGAAGTATAAAATATACAAGGCATATATTGGTCACTTTATTTTCATTTATATATAGGGTGTAACATAAGTTCGTTAAAATATTCAAGTGGCGTATTCCTGAGACAATTTTAAGAAAAAAAGTCTATATGAACTTGTGTCCGAAAATGCTTCATTTCGAAGATACGGGGTGTTGAAATTGAATTTTTTTTGTTCGCTTTTTGAAAATAACTCTTACAAAAAATAAGTTATTTGCACGAAATTCGGTACTCGTGGTTTTTTTTGACGTGGGAAATCATAATTTCGTATTAATTTTCATGTAACATCTAGAGGGCGCTGTGTACGCTGTCATTATTTATTTCAAATTGCCCTAACTTTTTTGACAGAAAACTTGGTACTTTTTATGAGAAAACCCACACCTTTTCCAAGTAAAAAAGGTATACCTCCTCAACAACGCTGGAGGTAATCATTTTCGAGATATTTACAATTTTCTATATCGATGCATATTACTTTATAGCCAAATTTGATTTCAATAATTTTTGTCACTGTCCGCTTGCACATTAATTAAATCGAGTAGACTATGAAAGTTTGTTTATAAAAATAAAAGTTCGATATCACATTTTTAACTATTAATTGACAAATTCTCAGTTCGGAGTTTATAAAGTGATTTTTTTGGTACCATGCCCGACTTTACGAATGCTGAAATGGCTGATATGATTTTTGCATACGGCTTGGCGGACGGAAATTCAAGCGAGGCCAGACGCATCTAACAGGAAAGGTATCCCCAACGCGTGACTCCTTTTGTAGCGACATTTGCGAATCTTTTTCGGCGACTTTCCGAATCTGGAAGCTTTGAAACAAATTCTGAAGTGGAACGGCCACGGACTACAAGATCTGTAGAATTGAAGGAGCTGCTTCTCGAAAAAAGTAGTAAACATCAAGAGACAAGTACAAGAAAAATTAGTCAAACTTTAAATGTGAGTCACATTACAGTTTACAGAATTTCAAAGGAACAGCAATTATATCCTTATCATATTCAGCGTGTCCAGGCAATTACGCTACGTGATTTCCAACCACGTATCGAATTTGCTCAATGGCTTCAAAGAAAAGTAGAACAACATCCGCAAATTTTATCGAAAATCCCCTTCACAAATGAGGCTAATTTTTCAAGAAATGGTATCATGAACTTCCATAACAACCACATCTGGGCGGAAGATAACCCACATGCGATAACACAAACTCATTTCCAAGACAGATTATATTTTAATGTATGGGAAGGCATAATTGGGGATTATTTGATTAGGCCCTATTTTCTCCTCATACGTTTGAATGGAGATGCTTACCTACATTTTTTGGAACACGAGCTTCCCCAACTTATCAGATGTTCTCATTGCTCTCCGAAATCACTTATGCACGATGGAGCTCCTGCACATTTTAGTGTATAGCAAGAAATTTTTTAGACGTAGCATATCCCCAACGATGGATAGGATAGCAATGGCCATTGGCCACCGAAGTCACCGAATCTCAATCCCATCGATTTTTTTGCGGACACCTAATATCACTAGTTCATGCTAGCCGCATGAACTAGTGATTACCTCCAGCGTTGTTGAGGAGGTCAACCTTTTTTACTTGGAAAAGGTGTGGAAATTAGGTTCATGAAAAGTACCAAACGTTTACTGTCAAAAAAGTTGGGCAATAAATAATGACAGCTTTAAATGTGAGTCACATTACAGTTTACAGAATTTCAAAGGAACAGCAATTATATCCTTATCATATTCAGCGTGTCCAGGCAATTACGCTACGTGATTTCCAACCACGTATCGAATTTGCTCAATGGCTTCAAAGAAAAGTAGAACAACATCCGCAAATTTTATCGAAAATCCCCTTCACAGATGAGGCTAATTTTTCAAGAAATGGTATAATGAACTTCCATAACAACCACATCTGGGCGGAAGATAACCCACATGCGATAACGCAAACTCATTTCCAAGACAGATTATATTTTAACGTATGGGTAGGCATAATTGGGGATTATTCAGTTGGGCCCTATTTTCTTCCCTTACGTTTGCATGGAGATGCTTACCTACATTTTTTGGAACACGAGCTTCCCCAACTAATCAGATGTTCTCATTGCTCTCCGAAATCACTCTTCGTTTATGCACGATGGAGCTCCTGCACATTTTAGTGTGTAGCAAGAAATTTTTTAGACGTAGCATATCCCCAACGATGAATAGGATAGCACTGGCCATTGGCCCCCGAGGTCACCGAACCTCAATCCCATCGATTTTTTTGCGGACACCTAATATCACTAGTTTATGCTAGCCGCATGAACTAGTGATTACCTCCAGCGTTGTTGAGGAGGTGTACCTTTTTTACTTAGAAAAGGTGTGGAAATTAGGTTTTTTCATGAAAAGTACCAAACGTTTACTGTCAAAAAAGTTGGGCAATAAATAATGACAGCGCACGCAGCGCCCTCTAGATGTTACAAGAAAATTAATACGAAATTATGATTTCCCACGTCAAAAAAAAAAATTCAACACCCCGTATCTTCGAAATGAAGCATTTTCGAACACAAGTTCATATAGACTTTTTTTCTCAAAATTGTCTCAGGAATACGTCACTTAAATATTTTAACGTACTTATGTTACATCCTGTATATATAGCGTATTTCATTATAAGCGCTTCCCATCTTAAAAATCAAATGAAACAAAAAACAAAGTGTGTGTGAAATATCATCGACATTTTTTATTCGTTTAAAAGACCTATTGATGCCATTATGTGTGGAATAAACATCGTTCAAATGTCCGCTACGGCTTCTCTGGGTATAGCGCATCCGAAACGTCCAATTTACCATGACTCTGGCACATAATTCGGGCTGAATGATGGCATCGGTTATGTAGGCTTTGAGGACCGCTATGGTTTGTGGCTCATTCGCATACACCTGCAACTCAAGAAAACTCCTCAAGAAAATTCTAACGGAGTCAAATCGTACGATCTCGGTGCCAGTTCACATCACCTTTTCGTGAGATGACCATGCCTTCAATTAGAGTTATCGTGAGCGACGCGAAATCGACTACCTCGGATTCTCCTGCACACTCTCACAGACAGAGGCGATGTTTTCGGCAGATTATGTGTTTTGTTAATTAGTTTTCATAACTAATAATGGGATAAAACTCGAAACCGGTCGTAAAAATAAAATAACTAAATATTGGAAATTAGACAAACGTGTTTTTATTCATTACTAAATTGTCATCATTTTCTAAAATTTATGTAATCATAGGATGTACACAATCTTGTGATAGATTAAAGTATGTATCTCCATTGAGATTACCTTCAATGAAGAATGGTCCAACAATATGACTATCAAGAATGCCAGCCCAGACATTCTATTTTTGTGGAGTTTGTGAATGTGTTTCCGTCACTAAATGAGGATTCAGATCGCTTCAGTAACGACAATTATGTCAATTCACTTCACCATTCAACAAGAAAGAACTTTCGTCTGAAAAATTTGATTGTATAATAAGTTTGGGTGATGGGTCAATTTCTGACTGAACACTTCACAAAACTGAAGTCGACGATCAGGATCATCTTCGTTTAATAACTGAACTAGCCTTATTTTGAAAGGATGGAATTTGTAGGCTTTCAAAATCCCGAAAACACTAGAAGCTGATACACCAGACGCTCTAGCTACTTGTCTGATAGATTGTCAATTATCCATTTGTACATTTCCTAAAACTGTTACTTCAACTCCGTCATTTCTGATAGGACGGGATACTTCATGTTTTCATGTTGTGATCAGAACCCGAAGTTCGAAACTCATCCATTAACTGTTTAACGTATTGTTGGCTCATGTTGTGGTCTGGATGATTCGTATCATAAATTATTGCAGCAGTTTTAGCACTTTATTGATTCGATAATAGGTTGCAACAATTTCTATTCTTTCTTCAGTAAAATAAACCATGTTGGAACACAGTGAACAAAGATGACTGAATAATAATTCGTGAAGAAGTGACAGTGGCCAACTATTTACTTTTTATTCTGCGACAACTATATTCAATAAAAACTACCAGTGCAGAAAAAACTAACAGTGTCATCCATTTCAAAATGTTTACTACTAATTGAATAAATTCTACAAATCTAGAAGATCTGCGACAGAGAATTGTTCGAGAATGCCGATTTCTGACTCCGGACATCTTCAGTAATCTAAGGAACGCTTTCGAAAGTAGACTGTATTTTGTAAGGAACTAGATTTTTGTTGATTGCCTCAATAAAATGAGCGATAGCAAATTTCTTTTTTTTTAATAAACCGTTCAACATATAATTTCTCAATAATGAATGAACCAACTTTGAAAAAAATTACAGAAGTAATAGAGGGAAAAAAAGTCCTTTCAAATGATGTATCACTCGACCCCCCATGCAATTGAAAAAATAGGGGGAATAGTTGCTGACCGCAGGGGGTGAAGTTCCGGGTATGATTTCCAAAACGAAATTAGTCCTAGAAATGAAAATTGACGTGTTCTTTGAAATTTTCGATTACACGTCCGTTTCTGACTTACAGGGGGGGTCAAGTTTTCGTTGGAACGCTTTGTATATATTTCACGGAGTACGACGATGAGCCGGACAACAAGTTCAGATTCGTTAATCCCTTTCTAATTTATGAGCAGAGTTTTGAGCTTGGTGAGCACTTTGAAACAGTCTGATTTGCACAATCTGTAAAAATTATTTAGCTGTTTGAGTGACGAACAATACGATTTCATTGACTTAATGGATAAATTAGATAGTTGCCATCGCTTGAATAATTTCACAACAAATTGAATGACTGCCACTGAAGGTGTGGCATTCACTTAAAATCGAAACCTTGAGCGAAAGTCAAATCTGTATATGATGATAGATAAGTCCTTCATTGATAAGTAAATAATGAAATGGCATTTCGAATTTCTATATTTCGTTTTAGTGGCAAGAAGGCGCCGAAAGGAAGGAAGACCAAGGAGACAAAGGACAACTTTTAGTAGCGAGCAGACTCTGAGACTAGAAATAGAGTATCAGCGATCAGAATACATCAGCAGAGGACGAAGGTGCGAACTAGCGGAATCTTTAAGGCTTTCTGAAACGCAAATCAAAATATGGTTCCAGAACAGAAGAGCGAAAGATAAAAGGATAGAGAAGGCTCATATAGATCATCATTACAGGTGAGTACACCTATGTCTGCATTTTGGCAGATCGTGATTTTTAATCTGGAAAAGTTTATGATTTCTCGCTGTTTTATTTCATTTAACCTTCCACAATCTGAAAAATCAACAAAACTAAATTAATTGAGTATCTGGTGGAGTTTAATAAAGGACAAACTAAAAAGTTCCCCAGACGAGTTACAGCGTAATAATAAATGATGATAATGAACACTTCCTAGATTCGATTTTGCTTATTCTTTTTCAATTGCTATTTATACATAACTAATATTGCAACATAACTGAATAACTTATTATTCAACAGTTTAGGTCACATTCTGATGACACCAACTTTAAAAAAAATAGAGATGGAAGTAACTTCAGTTTCGAGGAAGGATAAATCATTTCTGCTATACGAATGAACTATTTGAACCGTCATTGGTAAAGAAGAGATATGTCTTCGACACTGTCGAATATTTTTGAAAAAAAAGCAAGAATTTTACCCGAAATACATAATTTTATGTGAATAATCTTTAATTCGTAAATTTGAATGGCAAGCAAAAGTTATAAATTATGAAATGAAAATAAAGGTTTGTTTTTAGTAAATGTCTAAATGTTTCAACCACCAATTCGAAATACTTTAAATCTGAGAAAATATCCTCAAAGAGCATGAAATTTAGTAAAACTAAATGTTACAACAAAAAAATGAATTGAAATAGAAAGTGAGTGTTATGCTTGGAGGAGTAATTGAAAAAATATCACAAAGTAAATATGAGTATCAATTAAGAACAATATATGAACAATCAATACGCAAACCAAATGAGGCAATTGAAATTTGTTTTCTTAAAGTTACAAGCTGCATAATAATCATTTTCTAAATTATCTACTTCTGTTGTTTGGAATATGTTGTGATCAAATGTTTCTCGAAAGATTTTTTCATCGCTAAAAAAATGCATTTCAAAATCATTACTATTTCTGTGGTCGAATATTGATATTGAATAAACTTTTTTATTTTGAAAAAATATTACCTCAAATTTGATATAGAGTTTTTAGATGCCAGGATAGGCACTTTCTCAATCACCTTCACCTTCTGAAGACGCCAACTTGGTTGGTGAAACGCGCGTCTAGAAAAGTATTGCATTTTTGATGATTGGTAAAAGTGCTTGTTTTGGTTTTATTTCACGCCAGATGTTCGAGTTTCATGTTTTATTTCTAGACGACATCAACATTTCAAATCGAATGGCACGTTGATCGTGATTTTCGGTCTAAGAGGTCAGTCAGATTCTCGATAAAATGGAACTTGAGAACCATACTCTATTGAATTCTAGTCTCAACAAGAACTCTGAGTATTTAGGAACAGAAGAGTTATAACTTTAACCGAGTCTATTATAAATCGTCAGCCTTCTAGACAGCTGTGAATTGGACTATGGTTCCAAAGTTTTTAGATTTTGACATTATCTTTTCGCGAAGAACGTTTTTGAATTAAATATCTGACCAAGCACACCGACCATATTGATCTGAAAAAAACCTCATATCAAATGTCATATCAAGAAATACCTGAGAATGTAAGTACATGTTAAGGAGATATTATCACTCCGAAACACCTGTTTCATAAAAATTGTTATTCTTTCAAATTACAGCTTATTGTCATGCAAATACATCATAACCACCCCAATAATGAACTATTATACTTACCATCGAAAGGGTACTTAAAAATACAAATAAATTAAGTGTAATGCCTAGATATGCTAAACGAGGTGTAAAAACAGGGTACAGACCTGTGTTTAATCTCTCTACATTATCAGTTTCATCGCTAGAATAGTTCATGACGTTCATTCGCATGGAGATATCATCTAAAGGGTGTTGGGAAGGTAGTCGTTGAGTAGTTTAAGTTTTATTATTTTCTGAAATAGTTCATCATTGTAATGATTTGAATCGCATAGAGTTATTATAGATATATGGTAGTTATTAAGATTGAGTAAATAATAATAGATGGTATGAAATAAAATTGTCACCATTAAAAAACCAACTCCCTAATTTTTTCCTGGAATTCATAGTAACATTATGGGAATTCAATCAATTTATGTTCAATTTCTTTCAAATTATTGAAAATTAATCTAACTTTTCATTTGAAATTCTATGATTCCATACCTGCCCCGTGAATGTAAGCAGTATTGGAAGGACAAAGCTCGGTATTTTCATTGGTCCTTTATAATTTTAATAATAATAATACACCTTATTTTCTTAGTGACATCCAGAAACATGTATAGAATTTGTCAAAAAACAGTAGACAATTAACTAAAAAATTGAACTATGCTATAACAATTTTCAATTGAAGGTGATTCATTAGCAACGTCGCACTCGAAGTGACCAACGGATCCTTTTACCAACTCTGCTACAGAGGCGTACCAAAATAATATTTTCATTCATTTAAATACATGGGTAATTACGTAAAAATTGTTATAGTAGGTGGCGCTACCTGGTGTCATTGGTAAAACTGATTACATTTTCTTATTATGCCTCCTAATACAGTAGGTACTTCAAAAAAATTTACAAAATAATTATTATGGTCCTTTTATATAGAAAGAGAACTACAAAGCAAAAAAATAATTACCTATGTTATGCTTATGAAGTTTCAGAATCCATTGACTCATTCGAAGAGGAATCCCCAGTCACACATGGGCTACAGCAATAGCCCAATCTTCTTTCCGTATCCGTTCCACTGCGAGTTCTAATAAACGTTGGACATCAGAAATTTTAAATGTCACGTTTTCACGAGCTACGTAACCCTTAATTTGAGTCCAGATTAATTCTATCGTGTTTAACTCGCAATGGTAAGGAGGAAGTCTCAAAATAGTGATGCCTTCAGCACGAGCTATTGTATCCACCACGTGCTGGCGATATCTGTCACGATACTGTTTAATGACACTCATTAGTGCACTATCGTTTAAAAAGCCACTCTCGCTACCTATATGGGCAACAATTAGTCGTTGCCCTTTACCCGTTGGTTTCAGAATCCATTGACTCGTTCGAAGAGGAATCGCCAGTCACACATGGGCTACAGCAATAGCTCAATCTTCTTTCCGTATCCGTTCAATTGCGAGTTCTAATAAACGTTGGACATCAGAAATTTTAAATGTCACGTTTTCACGAGCTACGTAACCCTTAATTTGAGTCCAGATTAATTCTATCGGGTTTAACTCGCAATGGTAAGGAGGAAGTCTCAAAATAGTGATGCCTTCAGCACGAGCTATTGTATCCACCACATGCTGGCGATATCTGTCACAGTACTGTTTAATGACACTCATTAGTGCACTATCGTTTAAAAAGCCACTCTCGCTACCTATATGGGCAACAATTAGTCGTTGCCCTTTACCCGTTGGTCCACAAATGCTTGACGATAACTAGTTACAGTAGTATCTTGCCAGATCTTAGATACTGTGTGACCAGCATTCACCCATGTTTCGTTCAGATAATATTTTTTTTTTGTGAGCAGAACGCATTTCTCTAATAGAGTGAAGATATCTCCGTCGCCATGAGACTATATCTTCTCTTTCTATCAAGACAGATTTACGGGATCGTTTGGCATATATAAATTTTAAATCTTCTTTTAATAAATTCTCCTCTTTGCTCATTTTTGGAATGAGATCATTATCCATTACCTTTGTCCTAATGGATTCGAAAATACCTATTTTCCATAATTTAATTCTTCTTATATCAGGAAAATAACTGTTATAACGAATAACTGACAAAACTTTATTTAATGTAGGTATTTCGTTTTTTATTTTAGAAGAGTNAGCTATACAGACGTACTGTTTTCTTAATAGAATTCTTGACTTCTTCGTCGATAACCAAACACTTTCTGCCAGAGGATACCTCCGGCTCCAAAAAGCCGTTATTTTTCTTGAGTTCCTTAAGAATTCTAAACATTGTCGATCTATTGACACAGGTCATACTCGCGCATTTTTGCACTACTTTTTCCTTACTTTTCATTTCGGGCAAATATTGTATTTTTAAAGAATTATGAACATTCATAACAATTGTTTTTTCATTTATATTCAATGCTGACAGTTACGAACGCTTCACGGTTCCCGAACAACTAGTTTCCATGTTGTACACCTTTTTATTTAACGCGCTCTGTTTAAAATCTGTTTTTCCGTCAATCAGCTGTCGTCCCCATACGAACGACAATTCTCAGAAGTTGAGAAACTTGTGCGAGCTAAGGTCTTACCTTTTAACGTGTGATTCCTAATTAACTTGAGGAATATCACTAAAACTAAGACTAAGACTAACTCCTCTATCATGGCCTTTAATTTCCTGACAGAAAATAATGTATTATTTTCTTCATATGGAAAAAGCCAAGTCGGTCCTATTGATGCACCCTTCTCCTTCAAAGAAACTGTTTTTTCAATCCTCCTCAACTAAATACTCATTTGTTGGAGAATATCTTGATTACTCCTGGACATATTTTCACATTTATCGTAGTTGATTTGTTATTTTGTTTGTTATGAAAGAGATTTTTCAAAAATAAATTTTGTATATTCATTTATTCAATTCGTTGGTAGTAAATGATTTGAATGCAGTACGCATATGGACAGGCTCATAAAGAAGTGCGAAATATTTGGAATCCCCAAGATTCACACTTGAAACATTTTCGAAGTACATTTGACATTTTTCATATGAAATATGAATCTTTCGTTTTGATTGTTTCCATCAAAGAAATAATAGTTACAGTATTTCGAAACATTTATTTCATAATATAAATTTTCATGTACAACTTTGTTGATGCGTTTTGTTTTTTCAGAAAATTATTGGGAACATTTCCTGGTAGTCTTTGCCCAGTTTGTTTGGAAGGACCATGTATTCACGTCCCTTCGCTTTTACAATCACAATATACACCATCTCAGCCGAACACGTCTTCTGAAGATTATAATAGTAATGACAATGATATAGATGTAATGTAAACCAAACCCGAAGAGTTATTGTTGGTTAAGTGTTATAATTATTACACATTATTGAATATATACCCTTAAAAATTATTTACATCATAATTCATGAAAATACAAACGTTTTTAATTACTTACTTATTACTTACTTATTTTTATAGAGATGGTTACGAATGTGTTTTCCATGAGACTTATCAAAAGAATATAGAGATTATAACATCTCAAAAAAATTAATGTATTATTTGCCAAAGAAAATGAATCTTTTTATTATCCTCCCCAACAAATTCTTGAAAACTATGAATACAATTAGTTAATTCCTGAAACTGAACTGAAACTGAAAATGTTAAACGACATTTGTGACCTGAAACATATTTTTAATTTACTTCTATGTACATAAGAATTTTAAATAAGAATTAAAATTGACGATGTCATATTTACATAATCCTCTAGTCGATATCTAATTTTCTTGTACCTATATGAAAAATTNATCAATGATTGAAAACGTTCGAAATGGAGTTGGAATAGTTCCAAAGTAAGACTAGAATCAACTAAAACGTTCTGGTTTATTATGACAATCTTGACGTTACACAATATTCAATATGACGTTTACAGAAAACCCACTCACACGGGACTGTATCTGAATCACGAATCTAACCACCATCAATCATCAAGACTCTAGAACTTTGCTTTGAAACGCGGACTCAAATCGCAGCAATCTTTGTTTACCAAAGCGAATACTGAACAAGAGTCTGCAACTCTCGCCAGCTTTCGTGTGACTCTTGAAATCGGAAAACGTGGCAGACCATTCACCGATGGAGAAATGATAAGAGAATGCTTGATTGCAGTAGCCGAAGAAATATGCCCCGAAAAGTGTCAGTTTGTCAGCAAACACCGTGGCTCGGAGGGTGCAAGACATCGCAGAATATATATCATCTCAACTGTCTGACAAAAATGCACATCATCAGTGGTTTTCTCTAGCATTGGATGAGTCAACGGATGTGTCAGATACTGCTCAGGTGTTGATTTTTATTCGCGGAGTAGATAAAAGCTATGAAGTGTATGAAGAACTTCTTGATATTGATAGTATTCACGGCACGACAACTGGGGCAGATATTTTTAAGGGAGTTGAAAATGCCATTAATAAAAAGAACCTTCGATGGAGAAATTTGAAATCTATAACAACTGATGGAGGCAAAAATATGTATGGTAAAAATAAAGGAGTGGTTGCACTTGTGTCAAAGGCTGTAGAAAATGATGGTGGTTCAAAACCATTAGTCTTACATTGTATCATTCATCAACAGTCCTTGTGCGGAAAATGTTTGGATATGTCTGAAGTTCTAAAACCAGTCATATCAGTTGTTAACTTCATCAGATCCACTGGGCTGAATCACCGACAATTCCGCGAGTTTATTCAACAGATTGGAGAAAATGATTTACCATATCATACTGCCGTACGCTGGCTTAGTTGCGGAAAAGTCCTTAAGCGCTTTTTTGAACTTCGAGCAGAGATCGAAATTTTTTTAAATGAGAAGCAGCGCCCTTTTGCCGATTTAGAAAATAGTGAATGGATGTGGAAGTTAGCCTTCTATGTCGATTTGACAAATCATATGAACGAACTGAATTTGAAATTGCAAGGAGAAAATCAGCTTCTCCCTGATTTATACACCAATATCAAATCCTTCAGGCAGAAAATAAAACTAAACAAAATATTCAACGGAATGGTTACTCCAAAGTGATGGTAGAACAGATTTTGGCTAGGAGACAGCTAAAGCACCACAAGGAAGAGAAGCCGTCACAACCAGTTCTTACCTTTCCCTACGTCCGAGGACTGTCTAAGAAGATTGGAAGAATTGTATCCAAGTACAACATCAGAACCTGCTTCAGATCTAAAAACACCATCCGTAGCACCCTCACGAAAACCAGGTCACCAGACGCGGACTGCGATTCTAAAGCTACATTAACCGGATACCTTGTGAATGCGGCAAATCCTATATCAGTAAAGCTAAGAAGCCATGAAAGCCCGCATTGCTGATCACAAGGGAAACATACAGCGAGGAGGAAAAAGCAAATCAGGAATAGCAAAGCACGTTTGGACTCATCAACATAACATCAAGTAGTTCCAAGCTGGGATCATCCACATGGAGAAACACTGGTTTCAGAGGACGTTTAAAGGAGTTGTATATATTTTGTCCAATGACGCATTCAGCCAAGCTAGCGTTGAGGGAAGGGAGGGAAGAGGCGATAGGTGAAAGCGCTCGAATGACCTATAGTCATTTCCCGGAGGAATAGTTCAGTCATCACCCGAAGACGATTGTGGATAGTAACAATCGAAACTTCGTGAAGTTACTTGCTTTGAATTCTTTTTAATTTTTCTCTCATCAATTGTTCAATTTTTAATTTTTCGCTCATTTTTATTTCATTGTAATTTTATTTTACAGTTAACTGCTCAATGCAATTGTCATTTTTAGCTATTCATTTAAATTCTTAATTTAATTTGTTTTTGCAGAGATTTCAAATCATTTTATATCATGAATTCATGACATATTAATATCATCAATTATACTGAACGATCCAATATTATTTCAATAAAAATATGTGAGGCGATTTTTTAATCTCCCAGACTAGCCAAGTATTTAGCTAGCCATAACATACTTTAACTTCTTCGTTCCATGTGTTGATTTACACAGATGATTTATTGAATGTTTACTATATTTTTTTGAATTTTTGCAAATACCTCACAATGACATCTACTCAAAAGTCAATTTGATAGTGGTTTTTCACCAACACAACTCCTTATGTCAAGAAACCAGGGCCGGACCGTTATCAGAAACCGGCCCGAGCTATATACAGACAATGTACGAGCCCCGGGAAGTGAGGGTAAGGATATAGCATTTATCATTTTATATAGTAGACAATGGAAGTCCGAACTAGTGAAATTCATCATGAAACATTGTCAATCACCTTCAAACAAATGTTCTGGAATGTTGTAGAATGCTCTCTACAAGATCGTTTCACAATGATCTGGAATTTACGGGTATTATCGATTATTCCCGAAAACCACAGTCTATAATGTTCCGGGACGTTCTGGAATGTTTTAGAATTTCCTAGAGGGCCGAGCTTTCAGCCTTATATCTTCAAATAAACGCCCTCCGGGTAAAACGACAACCTTCTTCATGAACAAGCTTATGTGACACTAAGACAAATGACAAATAAAAGGAATATATGTAGTAGTTGTTTCGAAAGGGCTTTTTCTTCCAATTTGTACCTGATAAAAATATATGTGCATAATCTGCACACAAATGTTTTTTGTGTGATGATGAAGAAGTAGAAGGTCTCCCCTTTCAATTTGTCGCATAAATGTTCTGCTACACTTGCGAAGCCAACTGGGTGTTTAGTATTCAATATTTCTGTTTTTGATTGTACTCTAAAAACCGTCCATTTACGAAAACTATGTTTTTCATCTCAACCCATATTTCATTTTAAAATAAGGCTGTCGATTTCCAGTATTCGTTTCATCAACATAACAATATCGTATTTCAAAACGAACCGATTACTTCCACAATCGTCTTATTCTAAAAAGAAGAACGATTCCCGGAAAGCTCATCATTCTGGGATCTCTGTTTATTTTCGTTCGCCAACATTAAAACGTTTAGGCCAAGACGACTATTAGACCTAACAATATAAATATCGTGCTCAACAATCATTGTGGAGAGCAAAGCGTGTCCGATCATTCACAAAAGAAGAGATTAAATCCAGGTGGATGGTTCCCAAGTTAGGGGATTTAAAGTTCGGACCCTCTAATTTCGGTTTTTTGTTTCTCCGTGCTCTATTACAATAAAATATCCATATGAGCGCTATCGGCAGTCTAACAATGAGTTATTTTTCAATAAGGGATTTTATTTGGTATTCGAAGAAAATGATACCTTGATTGGAATCTGCTCGATGAAGGGTGAAAGATTCTGGGTCTGATTGAAAATGAGAATATTACAATTCCTTGGAATCTTTCATATGATGTGATCAGCTGAGAATATAATGAATCAGGGAATAAGTTTCAGGAATTTCGAAGTATATACTTAGTTTGATGATACAACCTTATTATATTTTAGTAAAAACGTTGATGTCACACATAAATATTTACGTTCAAAATGATTGGCATCAGTCACCTAAATTAATCTTGAATGTTTATAAATAATCTTTCTTTTGATTAAAAAATAATTTCCTGTAAACACACACACACAAAAATTAAAAACCAAAATTATTCCAATAAATTGATGGATGTAGCCATTACTACGTGATAGGAAATCATAATGAAAAGAAGAGAATTGAAACTTTCTATGTGTTTTGCCACTTTTATTTGTAACTAACGTTACTGCAGTTTCGTCCTATAAGGACATTTTCATTGACATTGACATTGAATACCCGAATTTTGTTTACTTGGACAATGTGGATACGCTAATTAGAAAACCGGTGAGTAAACTGAATCGATTTGATCATTTAACAGGTCTGAATGCCACTTCCACATTGTGAATGCCAATCAGAATAAATTTGAGTTCAATGTTTTCAGGAAACCTAGCTATACAGACATTACCATCCCAAGCGATTCTTTCCGTCCAGACAGCCATAAATTATCAACCTACAATTCAATGTTGCACAGAGCATTGATATAATTACAAGGTAATAAAATGTATTTATAAATCATTTTATTTGGAACCGACTGTAAATTTATTTTAATCAAGAAATGTTTTTGATATTCAAACTCTTCTCAAAATTAGAATAATATATTTATATATTAAGTGTTTACCGGCTACAAAAATTTCAACAAAACATTTAAAAAAAAATTAAGATATCCATATTTATAATTTCAACTAAGACAAATAAACCGTTTCAACATAGACCAACCCGATATATCATTATTGAAGGTATTGTTGGAAAGGTATTGCTATTTATAATCAGTTACCAGAAAGAGTACAGAGTATCGAATCTTAACGTATTGCTCTTTAGAATAAATTTCGAGATCGACCGCATTAGCCTAGGCAAAATTGCCTGTCTGCCATGAGCTCGATCAG